TTTCTTTCTCTTCTCATATTATCTTTATCTTTTCAATTATTTTATCATTATTTTATAAAAGATAAAAGTAAAGAATTATACTGTATATTAATTATTAAATATATGCCAAATGGTATATATATTTATATGGCGGTAACACTTTATCTTCCACATTAACCTAAAATTAATAATTACTCATTATATAATTTTAATGGCATAGTAATTTTATATTTTAAAATGTATTAAATGTATTATAAATAATAATAATTAATATAACTTATAATTAAAACTAATGCAAAGAGACTATTACATTCTTAATATGAGTGACATTAATATATATTATAAAAAGACAGAAAATAAAATGATATGTAAAAAATTGATTAAAATTATTAGTTTTATAATTCAAAAAGATGGCAAAAGAGTCTGACAAATTAAAATAGATATTTAGTTAAAGGAAAAAATACATTTGGTTGATAAAAATAAAACATGCAAGATAATTGATTTATTAGAAAATATATAAATGTATTTATTATTGAATTTATCATATTCTCTCTATGCCGAAATAGCTATTGTTTTTACTTTTTCTCTAAATTAAATATTTAAAGACAATATCTATATTTATCTACAATACCCTTAAAAAAGAAATAAAAGATAAGAAAAGAGTTTTTATAATTGGATGATTAATTAAAATAAATAGATAATGATAAGGACATAGGAAAAATATATATATATCTAACTTAAAAAATAAAAATAATAATAAATTAGTTTAAGAAAAATTTAAAATAAAAATACTTATTTTTATTAATAATTTCTTATATTTACATTTATTAAATTTTTTTAATTAAAAATTATTATAAAATTAAATAATTAATGTAAAAAATATAAAAATAATCCCATGTAACGCATGGGTAAGAAAAAATAGTTATTAAATATAATCTTAGAAGAAAATAATTTTTTTTAGCCGAAATTTTAAATGATTAGAAGAAAAACATCTAAAATTATTTCATTTTAATAAATTTGTATTAAAAAATTTAAAATACCTTATTTTTAAAATATAATAAAATTATTTTACATTTTTTCATAATAATTTATTAAAATAATATAATTTTATGATTTTTTTTTCTTCTAAATTTTTAAAAATCCAATTGATAATCACTAATATCTAATCTTATTGAATAAAAGTCAAAAAATAGTGGATGATTAAGAACTTAACTATGAGTCTTCTGAGAAACAGTAAAACGGTGCGTTTTTGTGGACCGGGGTTTCATGAGTTTGAATGGGTTTGGATCTTTATGCTTTGCTGGATTAGGCCTTAGGTGTGTTGGATTTTATATGGGCTTTAGGCTTGCCAAATTGGGCCTCGATCCATCTGCTGAAAAAGTATTTTTTAACGGTACAATAAATACATTTTTTTTACTATTAATTTGTATTTAATTAAAGACTAAAACTTTACTAAAAATTTATCAATCATTCACGATATTGGTATTAAAATTAATGATCAAATCCTATTAAGCTTATGATAGGTGGTTCAAAATGTATACCTGCTATTAAGCTCTAGAGGTTCAATTCTCCTTACTCCTAAATACTTATCTCCCAAAAAAAAAAAAAAAAAACTCAACTGCTATCATGCGCATGATATATATATATATATATATATTATATCCACTCCACGGAACACATATATAACTTAATGCACTTTCTAGCAAGTTTAAGATGTGGTTTTATAATCTAGCACATGGTAGATGGAAGATTGGACTCAGGTATACATATGCTTGAAGCTATGTAATTCACCCGTTTAGCTGATGATCAAGTTCAAAAGCAAGTCTATCATAATTATTAACTGAAAGCATTCATATACAAATGCTTAATTAGAGATTCTAAACAAATATGAAAAAACCCAATACCCATAATTACACTCAATGTATAAAGATAGAGTGAAAATAGTTTTAACCATTTTTTGCCAAGACCTAAATTGACTTAGTGACAATTTCTCATTCTAATGGAAATAAGACGTCCTAGGTTTAAATTATATAATATATCTGTGTATCCAAAAAAAATCATATAATATATGTGGCTGGGATTAATTGATGGTAATTAAGAGAAATACCTCTTACTATACCTAAAAACGACCGAAATATATACTTAATTAGGCAAGACCTTATCACATGTAACAAATTATCAAATTATTATCTATCACATTGCCAATCACAAAAGGGAAATCATGAAGAGTAACTGATGATGTCATACACACACACCATACAATTAAGAAGATTTCTCTCTTAATTTATTGGACAAAAATTTGATAAAAAGTGAAGTGGTGATGTATATATATATATGTAAAATCATGCAATAGTGATATAATAGAACACTAAACCAAAGACAGATCGACTCCATACACTAGTAAAAATAGCATGAAAAGACCTTGATAGGAAGGAAAACCTCATAATATATAATCTATCTATATAGTGTCTGCGGGGAGGTCAAAATGGTGTCAAAAGCTCGAACAAGCTAGGTTTATAACTAAATTGTATATTTTAGACTGATTTACATATTATTTGTATCATTATATTTTTTTTGTATGAATTAATCACGTATTTACATGGGAATCTAACAATATCTCATATAATATTATAACCAGAAAAATGTAATATAGAAAATCCTTGAACCCTAGCTAGTTTATCTTGAAAATGCAAGAGTCCGATAATATATTGATAACCATTTTCATCAACTATACACAGATTTCCAACCATCAAAATTAACAAAAATGAACCTTACATAATTAGATAGTGCAACCTGGGTATGCATGCCAGGGGTATTATGCAGTAATATTAACCAAGTTTTGAGATATTGGAGATGAAATTGCTTACCATCGTCTAATTAAAAAAAAAAAAAAACAAACAAACAAGCAAACCTTACACACTCAAATCAAAATCAAAAGGTGTGGCAGCTGAGGTACTGAACTGGTTACTAGCGAAGAAAAGCTAGTACTAGATAATTAAATCTCTTCGTTTAATTTCTGTTGCAGTGCAGATGTATCCAGGATAGTAAGATCACCGATCACCTGTATGTGATCAGATTCTTTGAGACCATGGAAACATTTTCACTTGGTTAAAAAAAATCCAACCCCTAGAATTAGGACAATATACCTCAGTTTGGATGATGTGAATGAATCCTCCATCAACTTTGGTGGAGACACAGCTAATAACATCGAGACCTTCTTCGAGTAGCAGTTCAAGAACCCTTGATAGTCTCAAAGCCTGAACTCCGATGCCAGCACTAACCACGACTTCAAACCCATCCAAACACGGCCTAACAACAGCGGAAGCGGGAGGGGCACTGCTGGAACTTGTTTCCTCAAAAGAGATCGGATCGAGTAACTTCTTCAGCTCATCTCTATTCACACGCAGCTCCTCAATCCTCTTCTGTAAATCCTTTATATAACTCACTGCCCCATTCATATGTTCTGATACTGCCCGCTTTCCCTGCAAAGAAAAAAACAAAGAAAACCCTAATGTCATAATTATGAAAAACCCAGAAGGGTTTTTTTCATTTTTAATGAAACATTCTTCGAAATTGAAGAAATTAGTTTACCTTGATGTACTCAAGAGGGAGAAGAGAGCGAAGGGAAGCACAAAGAGTGGTCATTTCCTGCCTCCTTTGGCGTTCAATCTCCCTATGCATCATCTTTTTCTGCTCATCATCATCATCTTTAGCCATGTTTTGTTGATGATCACTTTGATTCATCTTGGGTTGAGATTAGCATTGTCACACAAATCCATTGAATCCTACTGAACCCAAATTAAATCAGATCTTATGGGATTGTGTTGTGTTGTAAAGGAAACAGATTAATGCAATTTTACGATTGAGGACGGGTATGGGGACAAATATTTCAAATGGGAAGAAAATCAGGAAAGCAGTGGATATGTTGTGTGGGTTGAGATCTGGGATGGGGCCTCAGATCAGATGTCAAGAGAGATTCCTTATAATGCATTACGCCAATGAGATATGATGTGATCTCACCGTCCATTGGGGAAGTAGGGCCCTGCACTTTTAAAATCAGTTTGAATGTCTCTAATACCCTTTTCAAGATCCTTCCTGTGCCTTTTCCCTTAGGAAATTAACCCAAAAAGGTGGAAAGAGATGATCCTTGATAATGTTTAATTTTTCTGGTTTAAAAGATCAAATTTACTTTTTTTTTTTTATTAACCTTTCGGTATCCGATAATTATATTGAATGTCGATTAATTTGAAATCAAGTAACGTTGAACTTTATTTGAGAGAAACTTTTCTCGCGCTTATTTCTTTATTTATAAAATTCAAATTTGATATTTTACTTAAGGGAAACTAAATTCTTTTCACTCAGATCAACATATTTTTAGTAAAACAAATTTACTTGGGTGCGGTTATTGTGGTTTAGTTGCCATTTTATTTTTGTAAAAAGACTTTTCATCCTCAAATTTAAAAATACGGATTTCGAATCTCATTCCAATATTCAAAGAAAAAAAATTTACTTAATACAAATAGTCAATCATAATTATTATTAAAAAAATAATATAAGTATAATATCATATAATATTTTAAATTGGTAATCATAATTTATTATAATATGATTAATTTTTTATTGATTAAAAATTTATTTATAATATTATATATATTTATTTAATAATATATTATAATTATAAATTTATAATAATACTAACATTATAATTGTATTGTTGGCGAGTACTAGAGTTGAAAATTTTGTTCTTCTAACTTAAATATGAATTTGATTTATTCAACACTTACCGCAAAAATTTATATAGAATTACCAATAAAAATTCATTTCTACACGGCAAACCCTTCATGCTTAATTTGTTCTTGTTTCTTGACTGGAGCATTTAAGAATTAGTAATAAAACTAAAAGCTAAAAATTTGACTACCATATATCTTTTGTCAAATTTTCAAACAATTTTTTAATAACAGTAAATGGTCAAAAAAATGCAGCAAAAAATTAGGTAAAAACCCACTTTGAGCCTCTCACCTTACAAAGTTTAAAGGTTTTAGCCCCTCACATTATACTATGATATTTTTAGCCTCTTATCTTACTAGATTTGTAGGTTTTAACTCCTTACCTATTAAAATTGAAAAAAATAGCCCTCAGTTTAGACTGATTGTTAATTCTGTTAACTGAAAGTAAATTTTTATCAACTAATAGTCAACTAATAGTCAATTAACAGAATTAACGAAATATTATAAAATTAATTTTGTTAACTCTATTAGTTAAAAAAAAGTTTTTAACAACTAACAGCTAATTAATAATCAGTTAATAAAGTTAACAGTCAGTTAACAGAACTAATAAAATATTATAAATTAAGGGTTATTCTCTTCAATTTTAATAGATGAGAGGTTAAAAGTGTCATAATATAAGGTGATGGGTTAAAAATATTATAGTATAAAGTGAGGGGTTAAAACCTTCAAATTTAACAAGATGAGGGGCTCAAAGTAAGGTTTTCCCAAAAAATTAATTCAATTTGCAGACGACAATCATACAGTAATGACCGTACTAATGATTTAAAAGAAATCACTGTTTTTCACCTGAAAAAATAAATAAATAAGGAAAATAGCATGTGATGCTTGGACGAAAAAGTTCCCATCGTGCTATAATTTTTCGACGTCGGCTAAGAAAAGGCCACAACATCAAGTATATCTCATTGACTATTGTTTGAAATCTGCATATTTTGTTGATAAAGTCAGAATCAACAACTACAAAAGTTGGTAAAAGTAATTAAATAAGCTTTAGCACGGGTTATAAGATAGAAGAGGGTGTGATAAA